GGGGGGTGGATTACAGCGAATTATAGGAGATTCCCATATAAAGATACAGGATGCATGGAAGTGGAATCAAATTGGAAAAGGTATTAATTAATCCACAGACAGGAAAAAGAGGCTAAAGCAGCACCTGGACATGGATGGTTGGTGCCTCTATAAATAAATTGTTGATAGTCAGGTCAGGTGCTCTTGAACCTTAAGCAGTCCTTCATCAGACTACGTTGTGGCAGGAAAATCTTCGTAATATATTGCTCCTGCTGCTGTACAGGGGAGAGCAGCAGCAACCTATAAACCCACGTCTCACAGGAGGATCTACACCTGTCCTTGGGGATCCCTTTTGTGAATGAGCTGGACAATGTCAACGCCTATCAAATCCGGAGTGATACTTCAGTGTTCAGCAGGGAAGAAACATCGGAAAGCTCCGGAAGAGTCTGGTCACCTGTCCTGGTTCCGCGGCTGACTCTTCTAGTTAGTTCTAAATGGTCTTAGCGCGATGCAGGAAGGAAGGAATGAAAACTAACTGTCACGTCAGTATGCTCGGATGACTGGCTTCCAGGCATAGGGGCAACGAAGCGGACCCGCTGTTCCAGATATCCCATGTAGATTAACTGGTCAGAGGGTAAAAGAGTCCAAAAGAAGCTGACCACAACGAAAAAAGGCGACAGGGACGACATATTGGAATATATTGCAATATTGTTTGTCTCTGACATCAGTAGAACATGAATCATCCAGAGGCTGGGAGAGAGAGCGTCCCAACATCGCGTCCTATCTTGTCTCTGTCCGCGGCTTATGCTTATTTATTAATGAATGAATACTATTTTTCATTCAGTTCCCAAAGCTGGATGTTCTGGACCAAACCAGGACCTGCCAAAGAAGGTGAAAAGAAAACAAGCACCAGTTAAAGAAAAACTACCTTATTAAATGTCATATTTTTACAAGGCCTTTTTAGTCCCAATAAAAAAGTTCAAGTTCTTTATAAGATTGGAAGATACATTTCATAACGTGACAAGGGAACAAACCCCTACACACTTGCATTTCCTTGCTCTGGTTCTGAGAAAAACAGGTAATCTATGCCACACACACAGGCACACACACACACACACACACACACACACACACACACACACACACACACACACACACACACATTCACATACATACATACATACACACACACACGACACACACACATGCACAGGAAAAGGGAGAGGGAGAGAGAGAGAGAGAGAGAGAGAGAGAGAGAGAGAGAGAGAGAGAGAGGGGGGGGGGAGAGAGAGAGAACGCTAGAGAAAGAAAGAGAAAATGTAACTGAAAGAAACCAAGTTAGATAGATAGATAGATAGATAGATAGATAGATAGATAGATAGATAGATAGATAGATAGATAGATAGATAGATAGATAGATAGATAGATAGATTGACAACGAGCGAGCCAGCCAACGAGCGATCGAGAGAGAGAGAGAGAGAGAGAGAGAGAGAGAGAGAGAGAGAGAGAGAGAGAGAGAGAGAGAGAGAGGGGGAGAGAAGGGGGGGGGGTCAGCTCATTTTTATCATGACTGCAGAAATACTGTGCCTTTGTTTGGAAGCTTTGTAACACTGTAAGGGCAGATCATAGTAACATCCAATTTCATTGGAATAAACAGAGTAAATCCAATCTTCTCGGCGGTAGGTGGAGATGCTTCCTTAGATTTTGCAAACTTGACTGCAATCAAAGCTGATAAGAAATTATTATAATTATAGCATACCCATTAAATGCGGGATATGCCTAAATTTTTAAAAAATCAGAAAAAGACCCAAGTCGGATATCTTTGAAACTATTTTAACAAATCTTAAAACAAATAAAAAATAAACCAAGGGGGCGTTACAGTTGTTAAAATGAAGAGCACCAAATAACATGTTCGAGAAAACGAGTTTTAAAAATTTCAGTGAATGGCAACTTCTTAAAATTCAATCATTATGGGTGTTAGTGCATTGAAGAACAGATTTGCGTATAGCTCACATTCTGTTAGTTTTTACAAAGAGGTTTATACAAAAATGAATTGAAAATAATCAATTCTGAGCGTGTAACAAGAGACAGAACAAAGTGTTAAAGAAATCATGAGGACAAATAAATAAAGCTGTTTTTAGTTTCTCTGATGACAACTAATCTCGGTTAGAGTTAATTTCGGACAAAAATGATTGTTAAATTGACACCCATCTGTTGCTCATTAAAACTGGGGACTAACTATAATGAATTAATTATAACCAAAACAGAGAGCATAACAATAACGTTCAACAAAGCACGTTACTAAAACTGTAAGATTGGCAAAGAAAATTTTCTTCTCTAAAAAACGGTCTCTTTTCACCTCCTTTCCTGCTCTCTAGCAATGCTTTCGTCTCCACTTTCTGCCCCCACCCCCTCACCCCCTTTGCCGCCTCACCTGGGCTCCTGACTCTTTCTGCAGCCTTTCTACAGCTACTCCTTGGCTCTTTCAGCTACACACCTGATGTTATGGTAGGAAAGATCTACATCTAGCCTTCTCGGACAAGGGTGAAAAATCTCGGAGGTCCCGTGTGCAAGTTGCGCACATTAAAGATCCCTTGGAGGTTAAAAAATGAATAACAGCTGCCAATTGGCTGCCACTCGGGCAAACTTCAAAATTTCTCACCAACTGAAAATGTTTAATGTGTCCCACGCTCTCATATGACTTCATGCAGTTGCGAGCGTCGTAAAACACTTCCCCCCCCCCCCCCAACAAACAAACAAAAAAGACTGCTTATATCATTATAATCAAAACTGAGAGTGCAGCGACCAACAGAATAAGTTACTAAAGAAATTGGGATGAAAAAGAAACAGAACTGGTTCCAGCGTCTTAGATCAAAGCTAGACTTGAATTGAGATTAGTCTTGCAAAGATACTTGTAACATGCACACACCTGTGGTAAAGCACAATAATCTTTTGGTTGTCACAACTAGGCATACACAAAAATTAATAGATTGCTGGCATAACTGAGAATTTAACGACCGACCAAAGAAATCAGTGTTATAAAGAAACAAAGTAGTTTCCACCTTCTCGGATCTCAAGTAGGCTTGGATAGAGTTTAGTCGTGCAAAGATGTTTGAAAAATCCACATATATGTGGTAAAGCACAATGATCTGTTGGTTGCTATAACTAGGAATATACAAAAAAGAACAGAAAAGTTTATAACCAAAACTAGGACTGTAACGACGGATAGACCAAGTTACTAAAGAAGTTAGAACGACAAAGAAATAACGCTGCTTTTAGTTTCTCAGAAGACAACTAAA